TTTCTGGTACTTCTGAAGACTATTGACATATATTCAAGATGCAAATCAACCCCTTTTAACAATGAAAAATACATTGATATTGCTCTTTGTAAGTGTTTGACTTTGAAATCAAAGTAAATGAAAATGAAAAAAAAAAAAATACTCAATAAATTCATTTTTGCATTACATTCATGAGACGATGCTGTTTTGCCTCCAGATATATTACGCATAAAGGAAATTTTTAAAAGAACATTAAAGTCGGCTCTTTTTTGTGCAATTGTTTGTATATAAAGTCATGACATCAAGAGCACGACTTCTGGCGGTTGCACACAAAAAAAATCGACGCCGTAAGCGTTTCTAGTTAAGGTTCTTCACAAGTTTTGAGATCATGCACACAGATATGTCAAAATATTATGAAATTTGTTTTAATGAAGTACTTGTAGCTTCAAATCAAATGTCAAATTCAAGTAGTTAAAACTCGTTGAAGTCTGTTGATGGCCTAGTTCATGTCAAATTGTTACTGGATGCAACAATCCTTGTCAGATATAGAATTAAGGAAATGATCGAGAACAAGATAGTTTGATTGATAACGATCGATATGCTATGTTTGCATGTTGGGTTATCAAGAATCCTTTACGAAAAAAATTCGGTGTCCGGTGCAAAATAATGTACGGTATGGTATTTTCAATACAGTAGCAATTAGATAAAGGAATTATGTTTCCAGATCCGGCCCTCGTGTATTAGATTCTTTTATTTCCTTTTGTATCGATAATACCACACAGTACATCGGACACTAGTTGCTCATCTGGCCATATTGCTCACCAAAGAAATGAGAAATAGAACAAAATTTACGTATTCTCTACACCTCGTCTATTTGACCCTAAAACTTGCTCTTACAGTATTGTCCATCATCTAGCAGCAAATCCTGTTTTATGCATGTCTTGCATGAATGTTGAAATAAATGACTTTGGGTGTGTGGGGTAGAGTAGGTCTGAAAGCTCAGAGAACATCTAAAAAAATATTTTTCTCTCATGACAGACTACACTGCATGACTACATGTTTTTTTTTAGTCCAGTAAGATGCATCGATATGAATGCCTCATATCTTTTCATGTCTTTCCGGGAAAAAACTTTAGTATTATCAATTGAAATTTCATTTATAAGTGACATATGCAAATGTTAATATTTGGTGTATGTGACGTAAAGACACATAGCCGATGGGAATGGCTGATATCTATACATGTTTTGTTTCTGTTTGATGTTGATTAGGTGTGACAGATTGTCATCAGGTGTAGATGTGATTTGTTTTAGGGTCACCATGACCAAATACAATTTTTGAATTTATTAATGCAATGAAATCATAGTCGAAAACAAAAAATAACTTGTAATGTGAACGTTATTTTAAATATAAAAAAAATAGATCATCCGATGGAACTAGCCATATTTAGTAATGATATATCTAATGATGTATCTTTGATATTTCATAGTAACATGGTCTTAACTGTGATTTTGCTGAACTTAGTTGTCATATTGACAATTTCCAAGTAATCGAGAGATACGGACAGTTCAGCAAAACCACTCGATTATCGATGATATTTGGGTTGCTATATAATTATAATATGTGAGCTCTAGTCTTGCTACTCATGCTGAAACACTCGGCATATCCGATGATATATTGAATATTCGGATTTTCATAAACTAGTGGACACATGACATCACAAATAGTGACATAAATACAAGTAACATTACTAGATAAGGTACAAGTGAAGGTGACATCACTGGATAAGGTACAGGTGACATAGCTCGATAAGGTACAGGTGACATCACCAGATAAGGTACATGCGACATCACTAGATATGGTACAGGTGACATCACTTGAAAAGGTACAGGTGACGTCACTAAATAAAGTACAGGTGACACCGCTTGATAAGGTACAGGTGACATAGCTGGAATAGATAGATCTAATACAGGTGACATCGGTTATCAAGGTTATGTGATACTTATGTATATTATGATTAACATGAGATCTCTTATTTTAGTTGACAGGATTGCCTAATTGCCCCATTACAAATTAATAATGATATTGCCCCCAGCATCATATGGTGTACATATGATAATGTCCCTCTCGCCAGTACTCTAGTTTAGTACTATACATGTGTCGGTACTGTATATTTTTGTTTATTCAAATCGACATCTGTGAATCGTTGAGTACTGATCAAGAACCCTTTAGCTGCATTCTTTATACTTTCGGGGTCTGTTAATTTGGCATCAAATCTGGAAGTCATTAATAATGAAATCTTGAACAATGACGACGGCGGCAGTCAACGTCTGCACCGATGCTTAGACGTTACGCAAGTTTGATGATGTTGATTTCGCAAGATCCTGTGGGAATGGAATAATGCAGACGAGATCCTGGCGCCTTCAAGACGAATATTGTCAACATGGCCTACATGATTCATTGTTAAGATTAGAGGTACACATGGAAAATGTCAGTGTCATGTCACATTCACGTCACTGACACAAGCTTCAAATCTTATTTAGTACAATACAAATTCCCCGTTCTATTAAAGGGATTGTAAAGAGGTTTTCTAAAAATTGATGAACGCAAGTGAAAGTTTTCGTCTGTATTGTCATGATTTTAGATAGGAAGAAAAGGGTGGTTTCTGGGACGCAGCATCAGCATCAATAAGATTTTTCTCGAGATTTTATAAATTTAGTGAATATTTTATATCAATTTCTTATACTCTTGGTTTCATTAGATCAAGTTGTACCTTTCTGGTTGATGGCATAATTTGGTCGCCCAGGTGATAGGCTGTTATTAGGTTATGAAATATTCCCTCTAACGATAATCATTGTGTAATCAAATTATGATATAACTGTAGGTAATAATGGGTCAATATTATAATAGAAAAGCCCTATAGGTCCGATTTGTTTACACTTAAATAATGATCGTTTATTTAATATAAACAATAACGGCCCACTTATGACATCATTAAATAACAAGTAAACTAATTTATCCAGGATATCATAATGTTGCCTTTGGTTATTTATCACGTGTGATGGACATCAATATAGCACAAGTGACACACTAAGCACAGATCATTGAATTCCTCTACTTGACGCTTGTTCCTTGCATCACTAAAAATTATCTGAAATTGTTCAGCCATACTGATTTCAAATGACTCAGATTCGAGGCGCTTGGGATGTAAAAGCTCCCGATAGCCTTCCTTGAGCATCAAACTTTTTTGCTAAAGCATAGGTATCAAGTGTTCATGCTGCATAACTATGAGCTGCTCAATTCTGTACCAGAGAAATTCTGATATCTTGTTTTGAACATTGTAGTCAGACAGTGATTTGAGGCAGTGTACACATTGTAGAAGTCTACATTTTTGATCTTTCACCTTCATAGCCTGAAGCACTAGGATCTGGGTTTATTGTAAGTTCTGAACAACTGGATTTGTTTTCCACAAAAACTGTTTCTTCATCAGTGACATGGAAACAAGAGGCTGGCAACAAAATCTGAATTACAATAAAAAATATATATGTGATAGAAATAGATAATTTATTTCAGATGAGTATAATTATTAGAGGCTACATCTAGTTGAAAATAAATGCTCGAAATACAACTAAAATATACCTCAGAATAATCATCTACGTGCTTTTAGTTCACAGTTTCAAACTGTCTTAGGGATAAAACCTTTGAAATATGTGCCCAGAAAAAAAACTGTATCACTTTAAATTGGTCTATAATCAAATAAAATGTGGTAACTTCTTTGTCTATTCACACCTTGTTTTATTTGATTACTGACAACCTAACCAAACATTTTCTTACTTAACTTGTAAATGTAGTTACCCTTTATTGGATGTTAATTTGACAATATCAATCCAATATATAAGCTTACTATAATTGAGCCTCTATCAAAAATGTGTATATATTTAAAACAAAATACTATATACAAATATATAGTTCACATTATCATACAATATATAGAATATAATAATATATAGTTCACATTATCATACACTATATATAATATAATAATATATAGTTCACATTATCATACAATATATAGAATATAATAATATATAGTTCATATTATCATACAATATATAGAATATAATAATATATAGTTCACATTATCATACACTATATATAATATAATAATATATAGTTCACATTATCATACAATATATAGAATATAATAATATATAGTTCACATTATCATACAATATATAGAATATAATAATATATAGTTCACATTATCATACAATATATAGAATATAATAATATATAGTTCACATTATCATACAATATATAGAATATAATAATATATAACAAAATATCACAGTTTGTATCACAATATCTAAAACAATCATAACAACAGTTACCAAGCATAAAAATCTAGGTGGATGAGAAAGAAGTTTCAAGTCTTTGTGTGTGTATCATGAGTCTTATAATTTCTTTTTGCACCAAATATTCGAGGTTTCTGTTATTCGCGAAAAATTTGACCGGTATATGATAATCACCATCACAACTAAACTAGCAGAATTGTATTTAACAAAACACAAGATAATATTATGGAATATAACACACTTCTTTAATAAGGTTAGGTACATAGTGTTTCAACACAATATACACGTGTGGTCATTATGTGCCTAACCTTATTAAAGAAGTTTGTTGTATTCCATAATATTGTCTTGTGTTTTGTGATATGTGCTCCTCGCTTCTATATATCGTTCAAATCTTGGAATTGTATTTGACAAATTATCTGGAATTACAGGAATTGATTGGCAATTTAGATGCTGTAAACAGCAGCCATAAGTGTTCCGGGTACACATACAAGGGCTAGAAATTACCTTTAAATATCTACATTAATTAGACATCTTGGAGGCCCTCAGGTAAACTCTAAAATTTGTTCATCCATTCTATAGCTTTCAACCACTGCTATATGACAGGATTTATAAAGTCAAGTTTTCAAAACGACATGCTCCATTACAACACACAAAAAATCATCAATCATTTTAAACACCCAATAAAAAGGCATGTTTAGCAGTATTTCCTTGATGTAAAGAATCTAGACGTCCAGCCAGTGGATTACCCAATGTAGAATTAAATGTTCCTCTTAATACTGTATCTTGTATCAGTGGTGAAAACTGTAAAGATAAAAAAAAAGTAAAAATTTTAGCTCCTTTTTTACTACACCTGGCAAAGTATTCTCAAAAGGATTTTAGCGCTAGAGTGTCCTAGGGTCTTAAGTCATAGCACTGTTTCTGGTATATCCTAGTGCAAGATTCGTTTCGAGAATATGTAGCTAGGTTAGGTCAATAAAAACAGGTAACACTGTGCAGTGTACAATGAAAATTTTTTGGTAATTACATGGCATTAGCACTTTTTTGATGATCTATAATAACTGCCTGTGGCAAATAAGGTTTCGTTTTTTTCTGCACATGAGCTCTTTTCAAATCGAATGTAATTACTTCCCTTTACTGAAACATTCCTTCCAATTTCAATCGAAAAAAGAGAAAACAAAGGAAGACAAAACAAAAATTGGAAAATTTCTAAAAAAAAAACCGTTATCTAATGAGAAATCTGGACATCAAATTTCCATTAGAACTGATTAGTATAATGAGTAGAAGTTTTAATGAATACTGTAAGGTTGTAAATATTGTGGTTTGAGACAATGATATCAGGTGTTCCAATCTAATTAATAATAGTAAAGGTGGTGATATTCTATACTTGGTGATTATAGTTGAACAATAGACAGTCAACATTACAACAGAAAATAGCAGGAATAATCAGCGCTTCTCAATTTCCTCAGTTTCCAGTATCTTCCGCTTGGAAACTCTATCTTGTTTATTTTTGGAAAGTTTAATGCGCAGAAATGAGATCTTGACAATGGAAATGGGCAAAATAGGACCAATTACTTTTTTTTTTATATGACTTTTGAAATTGTACTTGATAGTTAATAGTCCTGTATATTTGGAATTGTACTTGATAGTTAATAGTCCTGTATATTTGGAATTGTACTTGATAGTTAATAGTCCTGTATATTTGGAATTGTACTTGATAGTTTATAGTCCTGTTTATATTTGGAATCGCACTTGATAGTTAATAGTCCTGTTTATATTTGGAATTGTACTTGATAGTTAATAGTCCTGTTTATATTTGGAATTGTACTTCATAGATTCTAGTCCTGTTTATATTTGGAATTGTACTTGATTGTTTATAGTCCTGTTTATACTTGGAACTGTTCTTGATAGATTCTAGTCCTGTTTATATTTCGAATTGTACTTGATTGTTTATAGTCCTGTTTATATTTAGAATTGTACTTGATTGTTTATAGCTGTTTATATTTGGAATTGTACTTGATTGTTTATAGTCTTGTTTATATTTGGAATTGTACTTGATTGTTTATAGCCCTATTTATATTTGGAATTGTTCTTGATAGATTCTAGTCCTGTTTATACATGTATTTGGAATTGTACTTGATAGTTTTATAGTTATAGAACAGCAACCTAATGAAATTTCTTGAGTTGTAGTTTAATCAGTGCATTCAGTACAAAATCTGAATTAAATTTTAGTTACAGTACACTTATAGGCCTCCCATTCATTAAACAAGAGAAACATCAAAGGAATATTGACTAATTCTATTATATGCAGGCTTCAGAAGAACTAACTGAATTTACACTGGAATTGGTAAAAAATATTTGGAAGGAATAACTACTTCATTGTCCTATGGTTATATTCAAGAGGTAGTTAAGACAGAAAAAATGCTGTTCATGCACTTGAACATAGATAAGTTTGTTACTACTATTGTATGGTGAATAAGTTTTAAATGAAAAACTAGTGAAAATGCAATGTATTTAGAAATGACTGGCAAACTATACATTGTTTAGGAATTGTAAAGACATTGATAAGAGTTTCCACCATTCCAAATTAACATCTAATTGAAAATCTGAATGGTTCAAATTGATCAGTGTCCCTTATACACATAAATTTTATAAATAAATAACCAACAGCATTGCTTCCATTGAATTGTATTACTGCCTAGCCAGTGGTAATGGTCATTCACAACTATTGGACCTTCCACCCCATTACCAATCAGAAATTGGTGTTTTGAAAAACATTGGTGGAAATGTAGTCCTACTTTCCTGATACATGCCATGCAGTGTTCATTGAGGGATATTTGTCTAAAAGATCTTTCTTTGATGGTTTTAAACAGCCAAGGAGTATTTTTAGCACAGCCAGTACCATACCAAAAGATCACACAGGTTTGAACAAGCTTTTCACTTCCATGTATCATTTTCCTGTTTTAACAAACACAAGCATGGATAATTTTTCACAAAACTTTATTAGCTTGGTTTGTCATATGCAATACTGATTGCATAATTTGTCCATTACCAGTCCCAGAAGACTGCAATATTCTTTGCAGTAGATCATCTGTTCTGTCAAAACTATTCACAAACCAACAAATTGATTGCAGCATTTTGAACTTGAACAAATATCAGAGATATTCAAATATCAAATTTTCTCTTTTTGACAGAATATCTTCCATATTTCAAAACTGAATCGAAGCCAAGTTCTCAAATGCTGAAGACTAAGTTGATGGTACTATCTCTTGCCTAGGAAATTAGATTCTTCTAAGCTAATTGGTTTGGAATTGACAGTTGTTCATTATGTTAAACTGTAGATTGATGCCTTTTCATGTCATTTCAATCCATTTCAAAAGATAATTTTTATCATGAATTAGTATCTAATCATTTATTGAATTAGTATGTATCATTGAATTAATATGTATCATTTATTGAAATAAGTATGTATCATTTATTGAATTAGTGTCATTGAATTAGTAGGTATCATTGAATTGGTAGGTATCATTTACTGAATTAGTATGTATCATTGAATTGGTATGTATCAGTTATTGAATTAGTATGTATCATTGAATTGGTATGTATCAGTTATTGATTCAATTAGTATGTATCAGTTATTGATAATGTATCAGTTATTGAATTAGTATATGTATCATTTATTGAATAAGTATCAAACAACTATACAACTTCCATGTTTTAATGGAAAAGTACCGTTTCATGGTTTCATGGTTAAGATCGTTAGTACTTGGGTCATTTTATTCTAGAATTACAGAATTCTTTTCGATTTAGTCTGACCCTGCTAGATGCTAGACTCATTATCACTCCTAACTAATCTATTTAATTTAATTATTACATCTGAATGTCTAGATAATGTGACAATTATTGAAAATATATAATTTATCACCCAGAATAGGGTAGGATGAATTGGTCAACATTAAGAATTTAGTTCATCCTTAAAGGGATTGTTAAAAGGTTTTCTAAAATAGTTATGTGTATCAGGGACACTGATAGCATCAATTTGCAATCAGACGTCTGTAGTTCCTACAATTCAACTAAAACTAAATGTTTGATGCTGTCACTAATCGCAAAATATGCTTTATCACTATGATCCTTCATGAAGTCATCAAACACTTAGTTTTAGTGAAATTGCAGGAACCACAAGCATCTGACTGATAATTGGAATGGTGCTAATTGACGTTATCAGTGTCCTCGCAAAATTTGCCTCATGACCCACTTAATAGTGTTGGCACAATAGCACAATAGCAGTGGTTATTTTTGTTATTTTTTCAGTGCAAAAAAAACACTGATATACTGAAGTATGCAGTCAATATTTGTTGATATTCAAGTCTGAAAGAAGTTGAATTGAGTTAACAATGCTGATTCTCTTCACATAGTGTACTGTTTTATCTTCACTATGATAAGATTATTAGAAATGAGATAAGAATAAATGATGTTTAATCTGTCAATTAAGAACTATTTAACTATGTCAGTAGTTATTAGGCAGTGGGTAAAGTGGATAATTTTGTGCTTCAAGATCATCTTAATTCAACTAGTCCTTGTTTCAAATCACCTTTGTCCAGTGAATCTGCTGTGATGTTTTCTTATGAATTGGTTTGATACAGTGCTTGTATATAATATACATAATAATATGGTTTTTGGTGATTAAAGGGAAATAACTCTTTATTTACTTTTCTTACTGCTCTAAATATGAATTTAACAGGGCCCTTATTGAACTCTTTAATACCTTATCTTTTCATCTACATGACACTTTGTCATGTGCATGTTTAGAAGAGTTCATTCGCTGAATAGGGGTTGGTTGTCTGTTTGCTTGGCAAGTCATAGATCATATCAAGCCTCAGAATCTATTTCAGTAGTGCCATAAGCATCAAAAAATAATTTTTCTGTAAATTTAAGTGTCCTTTGGCGTCCATGATTCTATTTCTTACAAACTGGATTGATCATAAAAACAAATAGAGCATAGAATATTAAAATGCAAGGCTTAGCCTACTATGGTGAATATTCAGAAGTTGTGTTTAGAAGCTCTTTAAGTTGATCTTTAAAAAATCTTAAATAGCAATTTATCAGATTTATTAGAAATCAGAAATAAACTAAGCTTATTTCAATTCATTTTTCAAATTTAATGTTTGGTTCTATACTTTGAATTGGTCTCATTTTCACAGAAGCTGTGATTTTTTTTTTTTTTAATTGGCATTATTCATGCGAAAAACTAATATTTTTCTTTCTTAATTGAGGCAAAAAAGAAATTAAGAGAACAAAAGAAATATTTCCTCTCCCTAGTGTCGCAAGTTTGATAAAAATTGACAGGCCAAGTCGTAAATCTTGAGGGATCAGAAAATTTCACAGCAAGATCTGGTGATTCATGGCACATAAATTCATTAGAATATAATAAATATCAATTTCTATTGTTCTACCAATGTTTTTCTATCATTGTGATGGTACCCAGCTTCGGTACTTGACTATCTATTATAATGTCAACTAATCACCGAAAACTACCATCAAACACTATAATTACCCCAGAACGTAGTGTGACAATCACGTAGTTTCATGATCATTTCAATTTAAATCCTAATTAAAACAGGACAGAACATGGCATTAAAATTTAACTACTGCTAACTTCCACTATTGGTTTGTTAATTAAAAATAAATGATTTGGTAATTTAATCGGCAAAAGTTACGAAATGGTGACGCTTTGTATTAGATCATTAATTTTATGTGACCTTTGACACCAACTGTCTTTAGTGTGGGCCGATTGTTAGAGAGGTAATGAATCTAGATTAGGAACTGTCCGTCATATTGGACATAGAAAGGAAATGGGCGGCTAGAATAACGGTAACTGATACTTTGATTGACTCACATATTGTGTTTGAACAATAGTTTTTGAAATAAATTGTCATAACCTTTCACCTCCGTGAGTCCATTTCATTATATAGTTTTTACAAGTTTTAGAATTTCCATGAATTTTATTCATTAAATTAAATTGGCTGTGTCCAGTAATTTGAAATTTAGACTTAATGAATTCAAAAGATGCATCTTTATGTTTTTTGTGGTGTTGCTGAACTTAATATGAAGTTTTTAACAATTATTCATTTATTTCTCATGCTTAAAGAAATATCCATATTATGACATGCAATGGTTGTAACTTAAGTTGTACCTATCTTGCCAACTCCATTGATCACTGTTTTAACATTGAACAATTTTCAATACTGGTACACAAAAGGATAGAATTATTTTTGAGCTTTCTATTTTTCAAGGAATGTCATTGGTGAGAGCTAAACCTTCAATCAAAATAAGTGCATCTGGAGAATCTTGGTGGTGATTGTTGCAAGAGTAAAGGTAGCCTTACACCATAGCGATTACAAGTTGACTATGTTTGTGAAAAATGAAATTGTCAATGAGTACCAAACGCAACTCACAACTCAGTTGCAACTCAAACACAACTGGTGATTGCTATGGTGTGAGGGGCCAGTTTATTGAATAAGACTCATACCACTCTGCTCTAGAAACATAGCAACCATAATTGTATATTGTGAGCACTTACCTCATACGTTCCAGGGCCTGGTGTTTCATTTTTATCATCTATAAATCTCTTATTCTTACAGATCATCAAACCACCTTTATTAGACAGTGTATTAGTGTTAGAATTATAGGCTCCAGGACCTGTAAATGAATAAATTCATATTTAAATTTAATAATCATAAAAGGTACAAGTTCACCTGTAATTCCACAAAAAATCTGTGAAAATTTAGACTGTTGTCTACTTGTCATTGATATAAAAAAAATGCCCATTAAAATTGAAGCTGTATCCTTCATATTAAAAGAATGGTAAATCAGATGATAATTTGCCAAAATTCTATGGACACGTGAATTTAACCTCTATCAGTTGGAACAACAAATGTTTAGATAGCTTCCTCTTGAAGCATTTGTTACATAATCATCCTTTTAAAGCATTTGTTACACATCCAATTTGGAAAATTGAGCACTCAATATGATGGAATACATCAGAAAATTTGTCAAGTAATAAGGAATTTCATTGATACACAGTGAAAAGGTAGAATTATAAGATCATTTCTAAGGAAAAACTTGCTGTTCATATCATATCACACCTGGGACACATAACTCAGACAAAAATAATCAGAAATTTCCAATCTAGATTAAAAACTGGCAAACATCAGAAAATAGAAAACATAAATCATTCTACAATTTACACATCAAACTTTAATTTTCAAATTTCACTTAACACCTTCATAAAACCTGCTCCAGCAGACACATTCAAACAAATGGCAGAAGTCATAATTCACTGCCAGTTGTATTCTGCTACACATAAAATATTAGACTCCTCGCAGATTTATTGCATATTTTCTAATTCTACGACCCATTAAGAATAGTTTGTGCATATTTTGGTTTCTCTCAACAAATTAGAAGCTATTATCAATTCATAAACTGTAATTGGGGTAGAGGTTTGCTAACTTGGAATCTGTTCAAGATCAAAATTGGCACTCATAATAAACAGCATTAAATTCTTCTAAAATTTAACTGCATTATCAGCAGAAAAATGTATAATGGTATTAAGTAAACAGAGTGCTTGATATTTTGGTTCCCAAAATTGTTCATGAGCAAATTACTTTTATAAATTACAAATTAGATTTTCGAATATTATGCGCAAGAGTGTATAATTTGTGCGCCCCTACCTTACCCCATCAAAATCTGGAAAAATCCATTTACCCGTATTTAATGCGCACCCTTTTTTGAGGTTGCAGACTGCATAATGCAGACATAAAAATAGTGAGTGACAACAAGGCATATTCCATGTATCACCTTACTTAGACTAACATGGTATTGGTTTATTTCATTGTGCATAGGCATTAAGTCATTTTCTCTGTTATTGAAGTCAGTCCAGCTGTTACACGAACACAGATCCAAAGCTCAATTTCGCAGAACCTGTTTTGTCACACTTAGAAAAATATGTGCTCTTTTTTCCCTATGCACAATATACATATACCTAACCTTGTTAGAAAAATAACAACCATATCAACTGTGTTGGCAGGGAAAATATAAAGTCATTATCAATTTTAGAATTAAATTGAATTCTGAATAAAAAAAGGCTGTCAAATTTAGAGATATCCGTACAGATTAATTTTTTTTCATAGTTTAAATATTTTAATGACGTTAATAGTAGGATTAGTATCTGATTTCATCTTATAATGGCTAACTCATTTAACTGACAAGCAGAATAAAAAGGCCTCAAGTTGAAATTGAATATTTTATATTTTTACTTTAGATTAAGTTGATATGTATAGATGACAGATTAAGTTGATATGTATAGATGACAGATTAAGTTGATATGTATAGATGACAGGTCAACTTTCAATAAAATTGAAATTTGTTTACTTTGCAATTAACTTTGCAATTCACTTTACAATTAACTTCACCTATTTCATGGGTTCTACTAATGACCACATACAACCATAAAAAGTAATTTAAAAAAAAAATTCAAATTACGGGGAGAGAGTTGAAAATTGTCTAATTTGGAGTAAGCAAGTCAAAGGCCAAAAAAGCCAAGCAAACATGAATAGCACTAATTATAGCACAATTATTGGTAAGAAAACGTGTTTGCAAAAAGCATTTCTGCCAAAGTTTTTTCGACTAGTCCTTTTTGGAAATAAGACACTTATAAATAATGTCATGGGAAATATGATGTTCTGAAGTTTAAACTTAAATTTCTGGTCTATTTTGGAATTCCCAGTTAAAAAACAAACAAAACAAACCTGGTACATCTAAATCAGGTTGTTCAGCCACCATATTACGATTTGGTGCAAATCTTGAAGCAGCAGACATAAAGGAACCATGTTTCTTTTTAGCAGTTTCATTTCTGGGTTGAGCTCGGTGTGGTCTTATTTGAGAACTAACATAAGACTTGTGTACTTCATAGGAACCAGGCGGTGGAATTTCCTGCAATTGAAAAAGAGCAAAAATGAGTGATTAGATTAGGGTAAAGCTTTCAAAAGATCAGGATTTTTATCATGTGCACATATATGTCATCAGCTTAAATGGTTTTAATTTTACTATATTTAATTTTAAATCAACAGATATTTATAAATGTTTTAATGAGAAAATGCACATATCTGAGGGAACTTTATTTTTGTAATAGTTCAAATTATAATAACTTTTCAAATTATAATAACTTTTCAAATAATAACTTTTCAAATAAAAACTTTTCAAATAAAAACTTTTCAAATTATAATAAACTTTTGTTATAATTTTTCATTCAAAGTTACTATGAAAGCTTGATTCAAAAGATTTCAAGATATATTTGCAATTAATTTTAGTATTGCATTTCTTCTTTTAGATCTTGATATAAAATGTAAACAGAAGCCTGTAAGTTCTCACTTCATCAAAAGTCACTGATTGTTGCAGATACAGTATAACTTAGTTGTGGTCTAATGAAATGAATATAGCTGCATTCCCAATAACAGCAGTTATTCTAGTACACAGAATTTTATAAGAATTAGATATGACAGGAATCAAATAACCTTTTATATTAACTTTATACAAAGAACTAATTTTCAATATAGCTTGTAATTGATCAGACTGAATGAATAACAAAATATACGAGAATCTGCTTTGACTGAAATGACTCTTTTATATTGAAGGCAAATTTACTCAAGTGTATGGAATCTGACCTAGCATTTAGATTACCGAATAGTCAGAATAATTCAAAGAATAGTTTGTTACATTGTAAGGTCTGAGTTGAGTCATAATGAAGAAACTAATGTAAAACTTATTGACTTTCTATGACTAAATCCAACATTCAACACCAGGAAAATTTACATCGTGTAACATTTATATTGATATTTTTACCTTCATTAACTTGTAGTTGTAAACAAGCCCACAGTCTGACGTATAGTCTCATTCATTTACTTGATCTACTGACTGAGGTACAGTCTTGTTCATTTACTCACACTCACAGTCTACTGACTGAGGTACAGTCTTGTTCATTTACTCACAGTCTATTGACTGAGGTACAGTCTTGTTAATTTACTCACAGTCTATTGACTGAGGTACAGTCTTGTTCATTTACTCAGTCTATTGACTGAGGTACAGTCTTGTTAATTTACTCACAGTCTATTGACTGAGGTACAGTCTTGTTAATTTACTCACAGTCTATTGACTGGGGTACAGTCTTATTAATTTACTCACAGTCTATTGACTCAGATACACTGGTACAGTCTTGTTCATTTACTTACAGTCTAATGCCTGAGGAACAGTCTTGTTTATGGCAAAAGTCAATCAAAAACCTTGGTAACAGTCTATTCACAGACCCATAGATTACCTGATACCCTTCAATATGACATACAAATCCTACACCAATAATCTTTGTATAATGGTAATTTCCTATGACACATAATAAGTTTGATCTAAGAGATAAAATAACACCATATTTATAAAAATAAATGCCAGACAGATCAAGTTCTAAATTTTGATTTATAACATTTCATTTCTTCTATTGAAAAGGTGCAATATTTCTTCTTATTTTAAATTGTAGTACGTCTTTTTGGGGTAAAAGGGAATTTTTCCAGGACTGCATATAATAAGTATATTTTTTATTTTCATTTCTAAAAGTTGTCATTGGTTGTTTATCAACACTCTTCCTGATAGTTGTTGATTTTTTTTTAATTAAAATAAGTATTTCAGTATTATATTTAAATTGGTAGTTCATTATATTAGACTGAATGAGGAATATCAGGGATTTGCATTAGATTCTATATCTGAAACCTCTATTAGAAGCAATATTCATTTATATGAATTTCAAATAATAATATTTTCTGACTTTCTCTAATAAGATTGGACTTAGTGAATCATTTGTCATGAGTATTCCCAAAGGTAAAATTAACTGGAGTAACCAAAGAGGACTGAAAGTCGTGGCACCTATAATAGTCCTCTTTATGATTATCAAATACTCAATTATTCATAACAAAACATGATCTCAACTAACATAAAATAATTGTAGAACAATAGGACAGTAGCCTCTGTCAACTAGACAGACAAAGACCTGTCAAATTTCTACATTTTCTGAAATTTTCATTAGCGTCTTAAAGGGACTGACAGACTTACAAAAAGATAAGGAACAATGATATATATGTAGAGTTTTACATTGTATACTTCTGTCACTGCTTTGGATATTGTAGATGGACAATGCAGTGATGTGTGCAATGAGGGAAAATTTTGCCAATTCAGCAGCATTAGCATTGACTTATTAAAGACTACAACTATCTGACATGGATGACTCAAGTTTCCATTAAAATAAAATAACAATAAAAGCAACTGATGTGTCATTTCAAAAAAAAGAATTTAAAATGTGCTTTGTTAATGGCTATTTTCTTTTAAATATCTCTTGAAATGAAAACTTGCAGCAAGGGAGACTAATTGTTCAGATGCCTTCCTCCTCACTGATTTCCATCAATATTCATAATCAATGTGACACTTTTTATGTCAAAAAGATGGCTAGTTGCAAACAAAATTCAATTACAAGGCAACTTGATATGTTTACAATATTTTTCTAAAAGGGTGCTTGTCAAATTAATAGTCTGTAAGAGTCGCAGTGAATATTATTAGAAGCTATTTGTAAATAAGTTGAGCGCCTTTCTGTCAAATCAGGCCGCCATGATTAAGTTTGTATCTTGCGTCGCAGTCTCATTTTGAATTTATTATGTGTAATCATTTGAATTATTTATCTGCCATGGTTATCTTTATGAGTTGATATTAGCCAGATAATGTACAATTTTCATGCAATTGTTTTAAATTATTAATCAGGCATACAAGGAATATGCATTGATATATTACAGAGACAAGACAGAAAAAAACAGATTTAAACAGATTTAATCATTACATTTGGGACTAACTGATGCAGAAGTTGAAATCATAAAATTTTTAGATGGTTCTATTTTGTTTTGCTATGTTTTTCGATTCTTTAATTTTGGTGCAGTATATCTTCCAGAGTGTCCATATAGCTAATTTAGTGCCTTTATTGTCCACTTGATTTTAAATTGTGTCCTAATAGATACTTGCTGGTGTACAAAACTGACCAAAGAGTCATTCTTCACCCTATTAAATTTAAGCTCTTGAGTCAAAGGTTAAAAAAACTTTAAAAAGTTTAAGCTCCTTTTCAATAGTTAGAGTAATGAACTTTGCTGATATGATAGGTCCAGCTTGTCCTCTTGGAAGCACTTGATACCACTCTGCTACAGATTAACAGTAACTGTTGTCAAATACCTATTCTAAAAAAATAAGAGAATTTGACCATGAAAATGAAAATATTTACCTTGACAACAGAAGGTGGTTCTGACAGTCTATTTGTTACTGAAGCAAAGTTAGAGGAACATTGTTGATAACGGGTCATGTTTGGTTTATCTTTAACCTGATAATGAGCTGGACCAGGTATTTCATTTTCATTCTTCTTAGAAATAACTTGAATCCTGGGAGACATGGTACCAAATACACCCTTCCTGGTACTCTGTAAATAGGCTTTTCTCATACTTTCTGCACCCATTCCACTAATATTATAACTGCCTGGACCTGTCAAACGTAAAAAAAAATAATTCTTCCATTGAAATTCATTTATGAATAAGCTTTGGCTACTGAAGATGTTCAACTTCAGAACTGCTTAAAGGACTTGTCAAGGTGTCCTTGGTTTAAATTTTTCTTACAACTTTTCCACCAATTGTTTGTGTCAGCTCGTCCAACCTACTTTGGTGGCAGGAATCAAACCCTAAAGTTCAAGGTTGCAAAACTTGACTCAAAACTCATTTAGACTTCTCACCTGGTATTTTTCTAACATGATGATCATCACTAAATCTTACAGAAGTTTGTGAAAATGGACTTCTTTTTAATCCTGTAACTTTACGTAAACTGTCTAAAGCTGTTCTAGGATCATTGTATGTTCCTGGTGCTGGACTGTTCTGTTTCAAAGGTTGAAATCTCTATTGAAAGAAAAAGATGTGTCTACATTTTCCAAGTCTATATTTCTAATTTGTGTCCAACCTACCACTCTTATTTGTCAAAGTTGTTTCAGCAGCAATAAAGTTCTTTTTCTTAAAAAGATCAGTTAGAATACCATGGTAAAATTCTTTGACAAAATATAGATTTTTGTTAAGATTCTGACTCGAGAGATTTGCTCTTTTTTTTAATATCCAAAATACTAGATACATCAGGTATTCTAGAAGCAAAGGCATGTCCTGACTTACATAGCACCCTACCTGTACATTGGATTGAATTTTGCACATGTATGTATTTGATTTTTAAAAACAGAAAATAATGCTTGCATTTTGGTCATATTCTACAATGTGGTAAAAATACCTTGGCTTGTGACAAAAATGGTGGATGTTCAACTTCAATGCCGTCCGTATTAACTTTAGCTTGAACTGGTTCAAACTGGCCTTTTATATCATATTTACCTGGTCCGGGTACAGCCTAAAAAACACAAACCCAATCTTAACATAATACATGATCATACATAGCTTCTAATGGAGAAATTACTTTAACATTTCTAATATTCTTAATCTATGTACCATAATAAATTATATAAACACATTAAGAGGATAATTCCATTTAAGAATTTTTGTTCTAAAGGATCAATGTCTTATGAAGAATCTTTACCTTTTTATCCTGTTCTATAGCCACAGATTCATGATATCTTGGAATTCTGGCATCATATCTTTTAGGATCATCATCATGTATATTTGAGTTTTCAACACGAGTATGAGTTTGTGGGTAAGGTTCATAATCTCCTGGACCGGGTCCATATAGAGCTCCAGTAAAATCACTTCTCTTAGATGTCATCTTACTAAAATGAACCCCTTTATAGTTCTTTGTGGTTTTAGTATCTCCCTGAAATAAATTTGATGTTTTTAAGAAATGATTTGCTTAAAATTTGTTTTTTGAGGGAAACCATGGTGTAATATCAGCAATTTGTTGTTGTGCATACTTGGATAACATGAAAGCCAAATAGAATCTTAGAGCAAAGAAGGTGGAGCTTAGGTATGCTACAACCACTCCATTTTGACTGGGCTAAGGCTGAATCTCTGGCACCCAAAAATCATGACTTGAAAAAGCTTCTATTTCATTGGATAAAACAATAATGTGAATACGATCAATGCTGTCATAAGTGGATATTTTCTTCAGTCACATGTCTTTTAAGCTATGACTATGAAAAAAAAATGTTAAAATAGCAATGTTATTTTAAAAGTTTTCATGTGGTGCAAAAAATCTATTTGACACATTGTTTTTAATTAAATCCCAATATAATTTGAGTTGTCTTGTGTTCTATCATACTATGAAGTGTTTTACCAACAGAATTCAATGTGTAAAAGAGTTTTTCATGTTGAACACAGAAAAAAAACTCAATCTCCACTCTCAGGCAAGAGCTTTTTGCAAGAGTTCCAATTAAACAAAGAAAAGGAATGAAATATGAATGATGAGCCTTTCAAGTTCATGTTACAGCTTTCATGATTAATCACAAATCAATTTTTATTGTTTCAAATACTGTCTAAATAAATCTGATCCTTTTTAAGACATTTTTTGTGTTTTGTATTAGATTGAGTGTCCATTACAAATTATGAAAGAAGATAATTTACTGTCTGCATTAATATCATGTAAGACTATATCTCTAGAGAAGGCCTCACCATATTTAATCTATGTTTTTAATGAACTGTTATTGAACAGGAATTTTAACTAAATCCTTTCTCTTAGTGTTCAAGAATATATGGGTTTTTGTTAATATTGAGATTTTGATTTTTAGCAGTGTAGACGGTAACCCTTGTTTTTTGGGCTTAATTTACTTATAACTTTTTAAAAGAATCAAATTTTTTCACCATGTTTATTTCTAGCTTTTCATTATGAAGTTTATCATATAAACATTTTGAAATATAACCTGAAAATTGGTGACAGTTATTTTACTAGAAAATTCATCACTAAGAAACTTGCTGAAAATTTGGCTGACATATATGATTGCTTTTTAAGTGTAATTTTAACATGTAAATTTTCCAACCTACAGTAAATTTTGATAGTTTGATTTGTAAAACATTGCTCTGATCTGATACCTAGTGATATGGTACCTTTAAACAATTTTCAAAAACAAGTTTGGCATGGCCTGAACAAATTGTCATTTGACTTTCAAATATTACCAATGGCACGATTTCTCTAATTTTATGACTCATGGGAATTGTGTATCATTGAAATCTGCTTTCAGACTTTAAAAACTAAAAGATTCTTATAGTAATAAATTAATTTTTGGATACAAATCTTGTGTTTGGTCTCATTCATCATGATCAATACTAGATTACTGTCCGGAACAAACAATAGAGCACACCACAACACAAATAACAAGAGATGTTCTGGATTAGGTCTGAGTCGTGATCCTAGAGTTTGGTGTCAAATTTCACAATGTAACACCCTACCATCTGTACTATAGAGATATTAATTTTCTTTATTTATTAAAAAAACAAGAAGACAAATGGCTGCACCTGAGACTATCAGCTGGAAGGAACAATGAAAGATCAAGGTCTTACTAATTACATGACCATTATGGATAATTTTACAATTTCTGAAAAAGGGCATCTAATTTTTTAACGTTGTGAATGATATGGCACTAGCATAATATATTGCAGGTCAGTAATTGCAACAGATCTCATCCATATACATTAGGTAGAGGTATTCTAAAGAGGTTTTCCATAATTGTATGTATCAGGAATCACTGATAGCATAAATTTGCACCATTTCAATTTTCAATCCAACATCTGTAGTTCCTGCAATTCCACTAAAACTAAGTATTTGATGTTGTCACTAATAGCGAAAAGGCCTAATGTGATGATCAAACACTTAGTTTCAGTAAAATTGCAGGAACCACAGACGTTTAATTGAAAATTGAAAATTGCAAATTGATGATATCAGAATCCCCGATACACACAATAAAATATAGAAAATCTCTTTACAATCCCTTTAAATGAGAAACTTCCATAATGCTAAAATTTTCAAAGAACTAATAATAACTAAACATGATTTAAAGAATAATTGCATCAGATCATGGATGGCATGTGTAAAACCTGCAGAAAAACTTGAAAAAGATCTAGATCAGTATCTTAATCTAATTTCCCACTAGAGCAACTCGGACAGATGTTTAATGTGGTAGTAGTATAACATTAGGCTAATTTCCCTCTGATACTGTCATTGTCTATTGTTGTCAGAGCATCATGATATAATATCAAATATAGAATCACAATCCTAAAATCACAGCAAATGATAAAACAGAAAAAAAATAACACAAAATAGCCATGAAATCTGGTTAATGGGTGACTAGTTGACAACTAATTAATTTTGGCAATTAATTAAGAAAAATATATTGAACATCTTTGTATTTCTTGGATGATTTGGGATAATATTAAAAAATAAATATACTTTGTATTTCTTGGATGATTTGGGAAAATATTAAAAAATACTTTACTTTGTATTTCTTGGATGATTTGGGAAAATATTAAAAAAAAAAATATACTTTGTATTTCTTGGATGATTTGGGAAAATATTAAAAAATAAATATACTTTATATTTCTTGGATGATTTGGGAAAATATTAAAAAATAAATATACTTTGTATTTTTTGGATGATTTGGGAAAATATTAAAAAATAAATATACTTTGTATTTCTTGGATAATTTGGGAAAATATTAAAAAATAAATATACTTTGTATTTCTTGGATGATTTGGGAAAATACTAAAAAATAAATATACTTTGTATTTCTTGGATGATTTGGGAAAGTATTAAAAAATAAATATACTTTGTATTTCTTGGATGATTTGGGAAAATATTAAAAAATAAAAATACTTTGTATTTCTTGGATGATTTGGGAAAATATTAAAAATAAATATACTTTGTATTTCTTGGATGATTGGGAAAATATTAAAAAATAAAAATACGTTGTATTTCTTGGATGATTTGGGAAAATATTAAAAAATAAAAATACATTGTATTTCTTGGATGATTTGGGAAAATATTAAAAATAAATATACTTTGTATTTCTTGGATGATTGGGAAAATATTAAAAAATAAATATACTTTGTATTTCTTGGATGATTTGGGAAAATATTAAAAAATAAAAATACTTTGTATTTCTTGGATGATTTAGGAAAATATTAAAAAATAAAAATACGTTGTATTTCTTGGATGATTTGGGAAAATATCAAAAAATCTTTTTAATTTTTGGATGATTTGGGAAAATATTACAAATAAAATAAACATCAAAACAAATAATTCATTTCAAATCATTTTAACTCGATACATATACCTGCCAAATTGTTATGTGGTATATACCCTAGCATCAGATGAACTGACAGTTACCAAAATATCACATAACATTAACGTTTAAGGTTCTGAGCATTTTATTATTGTATTCACTTTACATATTATTACAGAGTGCTCATCATTACGGAATTTTACTTACATGATCTAATTTATAAAATGCTGGACCTAAGGTTACATCTCGACCTGGTGGATTCTGTTTCTTTAATGAACCATCTTCACAATCTTCATATCCATAAGCTTGACCAGGACAGGGTATGGATGGTGCTTCTGGTTTTCGATGGAACTTTACACGATTTGAGGACTGCAAAAATGATAAATGATTTAACCCTGTTCATCCTATATCTGTATGCACTTCATATAATGTAAATCTTCTTATGTCGAGGAATAAAAACTTATAATAAACAGCAATTAAAATTTAAATATTGCAAATGAATTGTAGGATTGTCCCTGTTCAACAAAATATGGCAAGAAATATCATTCAAATCCTTAAATAAGTAGATATAAACTTACCAATTCTTTAAATTGTGGAGCAGATTTTGTTTGCCGAGAGAAGTCTGAGGCAATATGTGTGTTATAACTTCCTGGACCAGGTGTATCCTTCATTTCATCATCAAATCTCTTACTTTTATTACTTACACTTCCACCACCCTGTAAATAGATCAATAACTTTTATAATGATTACTTACACCACCATAATAATTTCTTTAATAATAATTATGTAACCACCCTAAAAATAAATCAATGTCTTTAGTGATTTACTTTAATAATAATGACTTACACCGCCCTGTAAATAATTTAATGACTTTAAAAATTTACTTTAATAATAATTACATACACCACCCTGTAAATAAATTACTGACTTAAATAATAATTACTTCCACAAGTCTGTAAATAAATCAATGACTTTAGTAATTTACTTTAATAATAATTACTTACACCACCCAGTAAATAAATCAGTGACTTTAATAATTTATTTTGATAATGAGTAAGCTTACCTTGTAATTAATGCAATGACTTAAATAATTTACTTAAATAAAAATTACTTACATCGGGCTGTAGATAAAGCTATGACAAAAATCAAAACGTTTTATCCCAGTAAAAATTGTGTTTACCTTGACATCAACTTTTGATATGGATGGATCATAATGTCCAGGTCCTGGGGCTGCTACAACTTGATCATTCATGTTTAAAAAGGTTTCCCTTGATGTCATGGAAAGAAATGGTGCATATCCATCTGAAATAACAACATTTAATATTATTTCTAGTGGCATCAAAATGCAACATTATATTGCAATATTTATGGGACATGATTAGTCACAAGTAAACCAAATCAGTAGTATACACAAATGAAATGAATGGAGTTTTACGTCCTACTTTTCTGCATCATATGGGCTAATGAAGACGGGCAACGCCATGCAGATTGCCATGAGAAATAAGCCTACTCCACCAGATGATATCCAAATTAATCACTCAACATTTATAGTGCTATGTGTTGAAGAAATGGGACCAAATCAGTTTCATGTACAACATATTACCCTTTTTTTTATGTTATATAGGGTCCTTCAAGCATTAAACTGAATTGAGAGTTTATTTATTAGTACTTTATATAGGAAGGGAGAGAACACTGATATCACAATACAAAAGTCAGACAACAGTTAAATGCTGTTTTTTTTTCTAGAAGTTTATTACAGTTTCTTTTACTTGCTCTGACTACCTTGCATTGTCCACTCCACATTGGTCTTGTAACCGAGCACCTGATATTCTAGAAGGAGTAATGATTTTACCTGCTTTGACCCTAGTTCTTGGTATTTTTCCAGCTTCATATGTCCCTGGTCCCACTACACCTGGGGTACTACCAATTAAGGTACTCAAATTACGCTCCGCTCTATCATACATCTTTATTTATTAATCTGAAAAACATAAAAACATATGTCAGGAAAATTGGAACCTGGATAATCAATATCCATAATGAAATTAAAAAAAAAAAATTGTGACATACTCTGTCTTTGGGTCTCGAGAGCATACACCCCCAACCCTCGAAAATGAAGAGGCTTTTTAAAATCATGCCACAAGGCCTAGAAAATGGTCAATGATAAGAAAATAACAAGAGTGAAGAAAATTCAATATGGGTAAATTGACAAATCACATTTAACAGTGCGAATAATCCATTTCTTCAGACTGGGCATTAGGACATGGGCATTTAGTTCGGGATCTACCCTACTAATATAAATTATGTAATGTCAATGTTACAAACACGGTAATCATATCCTCTCAAAGATTTCAGTTTCGAGAACTATCGAAAATAATGCTAAATTAATAGATCTTACACAATTGTTAGTAAATGTTTTAAAAATTACGTCATATACAAACCTTAACTCGACGTTCTTTGCCTAAAAAAAATAATAACAAAGTATAATCCGCCATTAAAGCTTCATGTTGCTATGAGTAACGGAAGTGACATTCCGCCCCAACGTCAATTCGCCCAAACTTGATGCGACAAATCGATACAATACACTAACGGTATTCTATTATTATATACCCATTTATTCGTCGAATTAATGATACGTGAAGAGAAAAAGTGAAATATTGGAATCATGCCTGACACAGAGCATTGAAGTCGTAGGGCGAAATTTTCGTCTGGTTGTTATAGTCTATTTTAAATCACTCAGACCCCAAGCTGTAGTTTACTCATTCATGACTTTGTCTTAATATATTCCCGAACAACAACTTTCACGCAACTAGAGAGTCAAATAGACCGTTTTGCATCATAAAACGCAAAATACAAATTGCAATTATCCAAGTCTTTTAGAACAGGAATGATTTTTCATCTAAAATTATCAATCAAAATTCCGATATCAAAATCCATAAATTTTTGTATAAAATTGTTGATTTTTGACCACTTTGATACGAGTAATTCCGAACAAAACGTGACTCTTTGGTTTAGATTGTGCCGACTGATTAGACTAATTATCACCAATCATTCAATCAGGTTGTTTAGCTGTTTTCAAAGCTACACATTGATTGGATGTCACATTTGTTTTAACCACTTAAATCCGCTTAATGATAATTAGGTCACTGTAAATGGATTTAGACGAGCTTTCCTTTATAAATTCGAATTTCGGTTTTAAAAACCAGTGTTCTAATTTTGGCATGGTAGTTTTTCACAGGTGTGGTTATAAGCCTGTTGCACATGGTTATCAAAAGAATGGGCCTACATACCATCTTTAACATAACATGATCCAAATACAGATAATAAGGAAGTTACCTCATACAAAGACATATTGGCCCTTGCGAGATGAAACGTATATTTGTCAATGGGTATAGCCTGTAAATATATATTATAAATCAACGAATTGAAAGATGCAACTAGCATCGGTAAGTTAACTTCGTATTTTTGTATTGCAAAACATGTATATGTAGGCCTAATGGATAAACCTAACAAACCCTAATATTATATGGTATATTGCTGCTGCTCCGTATTTTGACATTTTTTTATGTACGCCCACATGAAATGTGGAGCGTATATAGGCACCACTCATGCCCGTCTGTCCACAATTACTCGCAAACACTATATTTACAACTACCGTAATGCTAGAAAGGTGGCTATACTAGTCAAGGTATCAGACGCAGTTAGCGCCGTTCGTGAAAACCTTACATTGTGAAGATGTGTATGCTATATTCAGTATGCAATTTCGAGACACGAGTCTTTACAGCGTTTTATAATACAATATAAGTGTTCAATAGAATTGTATAAAACCATCGATGTTGCATAATTCAACTTGAATATATGCTATAACAAATAGAGCTGCCAGTGGAGGTACAGGGAGGCATTTCCTACAATTCTACTAAAACTAGGTGTTTGATGACGTCGATAATTGCGAAGAGCCTTATAATTAAAGTATATTTTGCGATTGGTGACGTCATCAAACATTTAGTTTTTGTGGAATTGCAGGAACCACAGGCGTCTGATTGAAAATTGGAATAGTGGAATTGATACTATCAAGGTCACCGATGCATACAATTGTTTTAGAAAACCTCTTTAAAATCTCCTTAACTCGAATCTATCTAACACCCACCAACGAAATTCGACTAAAACAGACCAATTATTGCATATTATACGTGGTTCTATTTTACATTTTGACAATAGTGAAAGAAAAAAGACAAAATCTAATTACATGTACAATATAACATAATAGCAACAGGCACCATGATTCTTCTCAAGAATAATATGTGCTAACAACAATTTTAAAGATGGGTTCCCTTATTTTCATTTATGAAAATGAAAATGCTGATACTTATATGAATAGATAGTAGAGGTGTTCTAACGACTTGGAAAAATACCAGTTAGTCTCAAAATGTCCATAATTAATTCATAGCAGAAAAATGTTACTAACAGAATTCCAATGAGTGACCGATCAAGAAAGGTCAAAAAGTCTGTTTTTGTTTACCCAGACACATGGGGATTTATGATGGGTTAAAACTCTTAGATATATGCAATTAGAACATAATATTATGATTAAGAATACATGATAATTCATTAGAAACACCAATTAATCAAATAGTTTGCATCTTTAAACGTTATTTTCAAAAGAAGTCTACAAGGAAGGAGAAGCAACTTATAAAATCTAAAATATCGCAAATATATATACAGTGGTAAAAAGTTCACATTCAAAACCAAAAGCATTATATCATCTGGTGAGTTTGATTTAAACACAATCAAGATGCAGTTAGCGATCAGAGGTTCTAAAGATGATACTTTTTTTCGATAAAGATTCACCTCCATAATTCATTTGATATCATAACCTACATAATATCCATATTCGAGGTCGATTTGGGTCTTGAATATTTGTAAATAGTCTTCATAGGTATTCGAATTGTACAAACATCACACAATTCCTTCAAAAATACCCAAACTAGGAATTTCTCTTTCTATTTCTATATATTACAGAGTTTCAAGAAAATACGTGTCTCTTTTTAAACTTTCTAACGCCGATAATTCTGAACACAATACATGGTTTTGAAGCTCAAAGCTCAAACACTTGTACTTTAATTTGCACTTAGTTATTCGTCATTGCAATTGGTCCACATGAAACATAAATACCACGATGCTGTATGAAAAGCTATCTAAGATACGTTGTCACATTTGGCACTTCAATTATCTCGTCCTCACTTTGAACTATGGTGGAACTCTGCGCGGATATATATTAGTTTCATACAAAGGTTCCTCCGTATCTGTTTGAATAAAGGATATTGTCATTCCATCAGCGGTAACGTTGGCTACACAAAATCCTCCATTTGTATCTTCATCTCCCCAATGAAATTTTAAAAGACCTTCAGGAACAGTGTTGGAATTGTCAAGCGTATTGTCAATGGCTGAACCCATACCACATACTATTAGATCTAAATTCATGTCGTTCGTTCTTGCCTTTTGATGAAGCTGAAAAAAATATATAGATGTTTGATGTTCAAGAACAGGAAGTCTTGCTTATTTACCTCTGATTATTTTAAATTTGTTCATGCTTGAATACTTTTGCAAAAAAAAACGTTATAAAAGAATTAGAAATAGAACCTAAAAAACATATTGTTTTTACCCAGAGTTTCACGCTATGCGATCTTCAGACAACTGGCCTATTTTCAGTCTGTGTCCCTACCCACTGAAGTTGGAAGAGTAGAACTTATTCTCACACGTCGTGACTGAATATCTTAAGTAAGTTACGTAACGAAGTTCTTACCTGAAAGCTATGATCATGCCCAGCTATATGGGCATTAACATTATATTTTTCTAATAACGGTAGAAATCTTTCAATTAAACAAGATGATGACCCATGCCAACCAACCGAGTACACAGGCATGTGACCAATCGTTAGTAGATATTTTGCTCTGAAATAAGAAATTTTCAATGACAACCAATAACTCACACTTAAAATAGTCTTTTCATGTTGGTCTTTAGGATTATATTGGCGTCTTTATAAAACCACTGCCATCTTTTAGTGACTGTGGTAAATGCATCTTTTGGTTTCTGGTATATTTGAGAACACCACAAAAGGAAATCTAGATTAAAGATTAAGGGTAATTATGTTCAAAGGTGCAGATAAAGATGCATTAGTATGAATTGTCTAAAGCATATATTCCATGGTTGAGTGCTGTTTATGGTTATGATCTACCAGCAACCATATACCTGTATCATTACGAATACCAAGTAAACGTACCTAAAATAGTTCCCAAAGTAATAAACTGATTGACCAATGGAGAGATATTTTTTTTTATTCCTAGTTAAGATTGCTAAGAAGAGACAGAAAGTAACATTTTAGATAGGCAAAACATTGGATGAGATTCAAATCGAAACGGATGAAATCTGATGCCGTAGCTTTCACATCCAGTAAGGAATTTTTCTGATTGACCGTTTGATAACAAGTTTGGCAGAAGCCTCTCTATTGAGCTTCCTTCCAAATGAAAAGAAAACCTATGTTCATACTTGCTGTTTTTTAAATTGGTTTCCAACCATTCCCATTGGTGATCAATACCCTCTACATTTTCCATATTTTGAGTTTCTTCTTTTAAACAAAGTATATTAGTATCTATCATTAAAATATCAACAGTATCATTTGTTCCAGGAATTGTAAATGATAGAGGGTAAAAATAGAATGGAAAATTCCTGAAATTGAATATAAATGTTTCTGCAATATAAATTGTACATGACGCTGAATTTCGTAGACGTAAGCGAGGTTATTGATAACGTAGTTTGAACGCAATCGAAGACTTTTCCGCGCAGGTTTGAGGTAGGATACTGAAAGTATTAGCAGTTCTCACCCCTTTCTTGCCTTTAGAGGTACATGTACACGTATTTATATTTTGTTGTCTGTCAACTGAAATTACTGCTCATATAGTTGAGTCGGCATGTCCATTTCGGGTGGTGATCTCTGGCTTCTCTATCGATGACCTCTTTATTTCATTGCCTGTGCAACTATCTCAGTCTCAACGCGAATAATGGTTGTATTATTTTTATCGGTGGAATGCCCGGAATGAAGGGCTCAATAACAAAAAGGGAGCTTAGAACAAAATAATAAAGTATTAAGGGAACAGATACCTAACGTATCTCAAGTGAGCAGAAAACCTCCTCATGTCATGGTCCCAGAAACTGAACATCTTCCACCGTCAAGCTATTGCGTCTATCATGGAAGTTTGTGAATGCATTTCAAAATTCTTTGATACAAGAAAGGTATTAGACGCTGTTATCACAGCTTTTGCTTAATCAAAGATATTGCAATTTGAACTTTCCTATCGTGACTTCGTGATTTGGTTATAATGATAATCTTACCATCGGTGCGAACGCTTTGAATATTCTATCTGAGCAGACACATTACCTCTCCAATCATGATTACCAGCTATTATATACCATGGGATATTTAGTGCTGGATCATCATAAACTTTCTCATAAGTTCTCTATAATATTTCAATTGAAAACAGATATTACTATTATTAAACGTTTTCGTTTTGATGATTTGGGTGTGGTATAGAATCTCTCACGAGGGACTATATTGAAACTTTCTTATGTCACTTTTTAAGTCTCCATGAGAGCTTATGATTTTCAATGATATAATGTCAACATATTCAAGATTCATTGTAGATCTAAGCTATTTAACATAAACGACATATTGCAATAATAGACTTGTTTATTGTTATTAGAAAATTAAAAAATGCGTAAACGATGATACGGTGTATTTTTTGGCTACTATCGAAGGTGATTGACTTTCCGATCTCCGCCTTGAACTTGCAAATTTACCTGAAATCTTTTATCTTCAACATCAACCACTCCATCGTCATAAAAATTATCTCCAAGGCTCACAATAAACTGTGGTTTTAGTTTCATAGCCAGATCTGCCATTCTATCAGCCGTGGTAGCAGCTACTTCTGATGTATAGGGGAATGTTTCTTGACCACCCCAATCACCAAGCATAAAGAATGTCAAGTTGTCTGTACCTTCTAATGGAGAAAGGTACATTGGGCTATGTAGTTGTACTACTGTAACAATATATACCCGAACAGCAACTGCAATACATAACATGAATATTTTTGATAATGGACTAACTTTCGAGTTCTAAGTTCTACTTTTTTTAAAAACTAAATGGGATTATGCCAAGCAGTACGCAATGAGTCGAAAACTGTAAGGGAGCTACGCAAGGCGTATTAAGGGTGTGGGCCATTGTAAATGTGTTATTTTGAAGAGAAAATTAAGCACTCTTAATGCCCAAAATTCAATTCCAACCACCTAAAATCCGTTGGCTTCTCGGGACCTCAGGTAGCCCCCAGTCACTAGCTCAAGTGCTAAAAGATTTTCTGGCATTGCCTCGCAGAGACGCCTTTCTTGGTCCCCGCCGGTTATTATTTTGGTCCCCGCATCTGGCTTTTCCAGATACGGCCCGGAGCTACGTTAAATCTTTTCTATTCGATGTCTAGAATGCAAATGATCCAAGACATACACGAATACGGGTCCTTGAATGCACTTTTATTTTCAAAGTAGCAACGTTGATCCATTGTCTTATAACACAGTTCAAAAGATATTGTTATGTTTAATGTCATTTTAATGGGTATGTACTTGTTCACTTGTTCATAAAGACAGCTGTTTCACTTCCCATTTCTTAAGATTTTAATTTCAGTTCATTGATCTCTGTTATTTACAATGTATACTGCAGGTAATTTCGATTTTTTTCTGCAATGGCTGTTAGAGATATTTTCTGAGAAATTCCCCAGATTCTGCATAAAGTAGAAAATACCGATTTATTGTACAAATCTATATGAAATAGAGAAAACATAAAATGAGCCATCGAACAGTGGCCATTTCTATGATTTGGTTTTTCTTTGAAAACATATTTCAAAGACAAAAAAGGACATTTGTCATTGTAAAAACCAACATGTATTCGCATGATTTCTTCATTCATCAAGATTCCGAAGGAAATGCTACTAAAACAGACAACTGAAGCTAAATTATGACTTATTTCAAGCCTTCGCGATTTTCAATGTGCGCGAAGAGATAATTTCTTCTGATTTTGCTATATTTCGGAAATTATCATCAGAGTCAACAAAACTTTTTGGTTCACAGAGCCAATGATTTTCTTCACTACCATGCCTGATGTGACGCTGTATACTTTATCTGATATTATGAACAAATAATCACTGAAAACCCTATCTGGTGTCATTTTGACCCAATAACGCCAAAAACCTCATCTTATATCATTTTTATGGCTCAATAATCACTGAAAATTTTATCTGATATTATATTATGACCCAATAAAATGATACAACAATACTCTCTTGCATATCTTTCTAATGAAATAACAGTGTTATCAGTTCAAGGTGTTGTGATAACGCATTAATAGAGTAGGGTATAGAGTTACTAGTAAAATGGCGACGACGAGAGGTTTTCCCACAATTAAAACTCTTCGAGCTTACACCGTACAAGAAGGACAAGCTGGTGATCAAGGTGCCGATTGTCACGATGTTGCTGACGATCACTGGATTAATGGAGCTGGTACACCTATCGCTAATCCCATGTCGATGTACCCATTATACAGTAAAACAAGAAAGTCATGGGGAATCAATGCCTTGGGATCTTTAGTTATTGAAGTGGAAGCTGATGACGGCACGGTTGGTGTAGGTGTGACTATTGGTGGTGAACCAGGATGTTACATTGCTGAGAAGCATCTGAGTCGATTTGTTGAGGGTCAAGATCCTCGCAACGTGGAACTGATATGGGAGCAAATGTTTCGTGGAACTGTGAATTACGGGCGTAAAGGACTACCGATTCAAACGATTAGTGCTATAGATCTTGCAATATGGGATTTACTCGGAAAGCTACGAGGAGAACCAGTTTATGCCTTGCTGGGAGGGAAAACTAAAGAACGGTTACCAGTGTATTCCACAACCTCAAGACCAGATCTTGCTAAAAACTTTGGATTTGTTGGAGCTAAAGTACCTTGCCCATATGGACCCTCAGAAGGTGATGACGGACTGAAGAGAAATGTTGAGTTTTTCAAGGGATGGCGAGAGAAAGTGGGAGATGATTTCCCTTTGATGTTGGACTGCTATATGGCGTTAACGGTACCATACACCATAAAACTGGCACATGCTTTGTCTCCTTATGGATTAAAATGGATCGAAGAATTTTTGCCGCCGGACAATTATGAAGGATACAAAGACGTAAGAAAAGCATTAAGCAGTTCCGACATTCTTTTAACATCAGGAGAACACGAGTACACACGATATGGTTTTCAACAATTGCTAAGTAGTCGCTGTGTGGACATTATTCAGCCAGATATTACGTGGTTAGGAGGCATTACTGAAGCCAGAAAAGTAGTTGCTATGGCTGCAGCTCAAGATGTATTGGTCATACCTCACGGATCTAGTGTGTACTCATATCATCTACAGTATGCTTTTTCAAACTGTCCCTTAGCCGAATATATTAACTTGAGTCCGAATGCTGACGCAATTGTTCCTTATTTTGGAGGCCTGTTTCCTGATGAACCGCTTCCCAAAGATGGATATATTGATCTTCTAGATACACCAGGCTTTGGTGTCACCTTATCACGTGATAAACTGCACCGACCATATTCTAGGTCTGAGGAAGAATCAAAGAAGCAGGCAGAGTTGAATAAAAATAATGCAGTTACATCTGAAGCAAAAATGCCTTTCTAGAAAGTATTGTGTAGGATCTTAGAAATATAAGAAAAGAGATATCAAGACAGTTATATTTCAATTTATTGCTTGATTAAACTGAACGTTTACGATCAAAGATGTTTTCAATTGCAACCTTAAAGGAGCAGTATGTAAAATTTCTATAATCAAAAACATCGTAAATTATACCTGAAAATATTGCTAAAGTATGCTATTTATATCTGGATGTATCTATTTGATCAGACTAAATTTGTTTTAAAAGAGGATAAATCCGTTCAGTAGTTTTAAAACAGCTTCCAACAAGCATAATGTTATTAAATAGTATTGTTAAAAAATTAAGGGCTGGATTTAGTTAAAACTTTCAGATTCGTTAAGGGACGCATTTCTTTAGATTTTGGTGTAAAGTTTTTAAAAATTTGAGCAAAAAAAATTCGACCCACACGAAGCGGAAGGCCCTTTTAAGTCTTTTAAGTTAAAACTTATAGCTACATTATATTTTACTGCTACTGCTAAATATGTGTTGAAATTGCATTGTTCTTGGTAAGATTACAAATTATGTGGTCCGATTTATACTTGTGCCTGCTAAGGATCCCCCACCTCAAGAAAAATATGAAGGAGAGCATATATTTTAAAATATTACCACTGGAGGGGCCCCAACCCACTTAAGTTCCCTTACTCATCTTGTTTTGCATTTAACATTCTTTACTTTGCTATACTGTACTGCAAAAGTTTACGACATGTGTTACTACTTTAGTCTAGCTGAAATATGCAATTGGGCTGTGGTCAGAAAGAATAGGAGAAGGGTTGCTCATTACATCATTCAATATGTTCATTTAATTGCATTTATTTTTTCTCGCTTGAATAGTAGGCATTTTGGGGATGGTTGTGGTTAATAATGGAGCAAAATATGCCATGTCGACCTGACATGCCAATTTATCAAAGATGTTTCTGAATAAGATGATGTACTATTTCCAGAAATCAGATAAGACAAATAAAAAATATCAAACAGATATCTACCCACCTACGCCTCGCTATTCAGGGACTGTCAGAATATTATGTACAAATATAGAATGTTTAATATTGAAGTACAATATTGTTTCAATCAAATTCATTATCGATAAGCATCGTCTCCTGATCAACAAAAAAAAGTTTTGAAATATTTCATGAAAATTTGATTACGTTTAGAATGTTAGCAGAGTGGGCACGTCATATTACATGATAGTCTTATCTATTAATCAGTCGTCATTTTCTTATGTAACACTGGAATGCGAAAAATATAAAATCAAAGATTTAGAGCGAATAAGCTAAGGGTATAATTCCGTTCTGAAACGAAAATCTCATAAAAAATACACATTAAAGGGACATTTTTTGACCAGTCAAAAGTCTTAGAAACGAGAATTATTTTTAGCTAAGCTCTGTAATAGTGTTTACAGCTCACCGTCGAAATTTTAGCCTTCAAATCCGTGTGTCAAGAATTATCAGCGTTTGAAAGTTAAAAAGATGAGTCTCCTTTTTTAGAGACACTACCATAATACAGAAAGGCATAGAAGAGAATTTCCTAGACTAAGATATTTTTGAAGGAATTATGCAATTTTGGTACATTTCTAGTTCTTCTGAATACTGATTACATATATTCAAGATCAAGAAGCATCTAAGGTGGCACAAATACAACATTTTTCAATTTTAATTTTGAATTAAAAACTTTAATTTTTGCTTGGTGAAAATTAATTTTGAATTAAAAAATTAGCTGATAATTCGTGTAATTTTTCATTAATTTTTTTCGTGGTGGAAATTTTTTTCAACTATTTAAAAATTAAAGTTTTTAATTGAAAATTACACGAATTATCACCTTGTGAAAATTTAAGTTTTTAATTGAAAATTACACGAATTATCACCTTGTGAAAATTAAAGTTCTTAATTCAAAATTAAAAGTGCAATATGTCGTATGTGAGCCACTGTCTCTTTAACTTACCTGTCAACCAAAATATTAGCACTAGTAAATAACAAACATTTCTTTTTGATCCCATCATATCTATGAAACATGTCAACTGTTTAATTCCATATGTATCATTTGTATGAACATTATTTTATCATTTTAATTCTGAACACTAATCGATGCTTTTCTTCAAAACAACATATAATTTAAAGGAAAGTTATTCACCAACAAATGTACTAAAGTAAACAGCATTGAAGTTATAGGTACCAAATCAATTGAAAATAGTTAACAATAAAAAATCAATTTTGAATAAATTAGTTTCATTCACAAGAAATCTGTTGGTAAGAAACACAATATACTTAATAATGACTTATTGATTATACAACGTTTCCGTCTGTCTGTGATGCAAATTAGAGGGGCTGGCATGGAAAAAGCTCCTAGTCTTTCAGATGGGATATTAAATCGAGGCCCCGTGTGCTACGGAATGTGCACGGTAAAGATCTCTCGACAGTTGGAAATCGAAAAAGAACAGGCTAATGCAACTGTCCTGGCAAATTTTGGTATTGCACTCTGCATGGCGTTGCCCGTCTTCATTAGCCCACTTGGCGCAGAAAAGTGTAATTTCATTTTGATTACAAAAGCCTTTGACCTTTACTTATTGACAAAAATCACTGTTATCCTATTGAGTGTGATAAGCGAAATGAGTTTTCAATTCCTTAAGAATTGTTTTCAGTATGCTCACCACTTTAGTAGGTGTTTTCACCTATACATAATACAACCACATGAAAACGGAATTTAGGAAGACTCCCTTGACATTAGAAATGACATTATCCATTCCAATTGAATGAAACTTGGATGGAAATTGATATAGATTTATGTTCTCTCTGACATTTTAAAGTTGACTATAAATCCGATGGAGATGTTCTTATTTTCTAAGGGATGCACAACTCATCGAATTTGGGAGAAATATCAAAGCAGTAGGCGCACTCATGAACCCACGCCATAATGAAATCCGTCGAGCTGAGGTTTGGCTTTAGAAAATGTATTAAGGAATACATTATCGATAAAGTCTTAACACGATTTATCCCCAGTTGTCAATTTATTGAATCTATTGTAGTTGCTAATGCTTCAAACAGTGAGTTATGCAAGTTATGCAGATGTCACAAGAAAACTGATCGTTTTTCGCAATCTGTTTTTAAGAGAAGTAAAAGTTTCTTTGTTGAAGCAAAAAAAAAAAAACATACGTGAAACTTAATTTTCGGCAGGTTTTATTGACATATTCATTGAATTAAGTATTGCATTTTGCTTATTTTTATTCTTATACTCAGATTGATTTTGTGTTACTGTGTAGATTTCAGAAGGTTAATCTATGTTTTTATGTTCAATCAATATGTTTTGAAAGAAAAGTAGTAGGTAACAGACTGAAGATCAGGTAAACAAAACAAAGATCGTTGCCAAAGATCGGGGAATTTGATCTCTGAAATTGCATTTTCTTTCGGATTTTGTGAAATTATGAGAGATTTTCATGCTGAGGAATATTCCTAAAAATAGTTGTTTTGTGTGCAGAGACAGTCTAACTGATGTTGATAAAATGTACTGGTTTACTTTCCAAATCTAGACCAAAAATAGGCATGCAAAAACCCCAAAAGGGAGAGAGAAAGAAGATTTCTAAAAAATAGCCTAGACTACATTCGTATGCAAAAATTGTTGATGTTGAATGTTGGTCCAGAAACTAAGTAATGGCTATATTGGAAAGTTTTTCAACGAGATTTCTTGAAGAAGTTATAAAATGTTGAATTTCGTGATTTAACATGGAAACAGATGGTAAATGAATTTCGAGTCCTGGTCGTTTGTACTAGTTTGACAGTGGTTACTTCCCTTTAATAATTATCTTAAAACAAGACACACAAATCTATATTTTTTTAGTTTACTATATAATTTGCGTCTAACATGAAACTTTATGAGAGATATTTAAAAACGACCTCTGTCATTACAACCATACTCTTAGTACCATTTAGTTTCAGATTTCTCTCTTTATCAAAATCTAATATATAGATATTTGAAACTCGTGCCCGATTTTCGTCTGTTAACACAACATCTTGACCTGTTAAACTTTTTAAAAATACATATATCACTGTACTATAATAGACAATTAGCAAAAATGAGGGCAATGTTATTGCGAAATACTTTTTGAATGCAAACGGTTGTCAAATACATGATTGTGAAAATGAAATAGAGGAATAGATCCTGCAATAGTTTATGAACATTTTGCCAGGACAGCGACATAAGCGATCGAAGCTTGAGAATCAATGTAGAACCGTTGTAGACACTGGTCTGTATCAGCGTGCATTTATGCATTATCCAATCATTACGCCTGAAAATACAATAAGCAAATTCAGTCTTGTTTAATATCGAGATCATACGAAAGATAATGTCAAACATGTAAGTTTGTTAAAGGGCATGATACACCATTTTCGGAAGTTAACTTACCTTGCTTCTCCTAGCATTACGTGTTTTTTCGAAGAATTGTGCGATGTTTATACAGTTCTCAAGGCCATGTACATTTTTTCAAGACCCAAATCAACTATGCCTGACACATAGACAGATTTCTGTGGTCAAAATGATCAGTGGTGAAAAATGTTCATAATGACAGGCTGAAAATCCAGGAAATTCAGACAAATGTTACTTAACAAGAATACAACACTCTTGAGTTTCTTAACGGATTGTCAACAACACTCAAAGAAATGTCAATCCTATCTTAGCCCAGGAATTTGTGTCACTGGAGTAGAATCTTTATGAATAAAACCCAGAGTCTGTATGTCGTATTATAAAAGTCTAACCAACTGAACATTATTAGGTTAAGGTCTATTACAGCTTTGAATTACAATTTATATTCGCTATTGAAAAATTCTATCTGTCAAAACCAATTATGCGGTAGGACAGAGGTATAAACTTTTATATTTTCGACTTCAAATTATTGTAGAGGCATTCTTAACATACAAATTCTGTAGCGCAAGGAGCAAAGAGTACAAGGATTTGTTGTTCCGTCTGCACCACTAGAAGGTTGGTTCTCTGACATTCATCA